ACAAACCTGTTAGGAACCTTCAAGTACATAGTTTGCCGTTCACATTTGTGAGAGTTTCCCATTCTCATCCCTCCATATTAATAAAGCTTGATCATGGAGCATCTATTACTAGATATTTCCACTTTACACTCTCCATAGTAGTGTAAAAACTGCTGCTTTATATCCTTGCAAGCAAGTATCTCTCTCTCAAATTATAAACAAATAAATGATAAATTTTACTTCTTTACATAATAGGTTTAAATTATTTACTTTTCTGATTTGACTTTCACTTTGTTCTATGTGATGGGAATAAAATGCCATTTCTCTGCTTCTTAGTGAGATTAAAGATCTTTAAATGTTTTGGACTACTTCTGTCTCTCCATGAGCTGACTGTCCATATCCTTTGCCCATTTGTCTATTGGTTTGTGTGTTTTCTTATTGATTTGTAGGAGGTCTTTATATCTTCTGTACACTAATTGCTTAATGGTTATATATGTTGCAAATATCTTCTCTGAGTGAATCATTCATCACTTAACTTTGTTTATTCCTTTAGTGGGTGATTATTCATTTTAATGTAGTAAATTTCATCAATATTTTCCTTAATGATTTGTGGTTTACACTTTAAAAGGTCATTCTCTACTAAAAATACATATTTTTCCTTTTTTTTCTGAAAGTATTAAATCTTTGGTTTACAATTTTAGAGCTTTGAGTCCAGCTGAATTGTATTTTTGTGCATAGTATATGGTAGGGAACTCATTTTTTTCTATATATACAGCCAGTTGTTTCAGCACCAGTTTATCTAAGGATCTATCCTTTTTCCACTCATTTGTTAAACCACTTCCTCTATAAATCAGGTTTCCATAGCAATGTGATCCTTTATTCAATTTTATTAGTCTTGTTTGTTGATCCCTGCTTCTATACTCCTATCTTAAGTAGAAGAAAGAGAGGTTCTTTATTGTTATTTTTATCTCTTGCTCCCTCACCTATGTTTACTTTCTCTGTCCAATAGGTTTGTGGGCAATGTAGCTATCCCCCAGTGATGCAATGTCACAATGATGGTCCAGAATTATTAATACACGGTGATACTCAGGATACCATAGATCTGATTCTAGGACAGCAGGCGGGCAGTTTAATTCAGTCTCCAGTTGCTGGGCTGTTCTCTGTTTCACTCAGACCTCTATACCAAACCTGGCTATAAGTCCCAGTCCCAGAGCACAACCTCTAACCATTATTAATTTCCTTTCATGCATAAAAAGTGACACCGCATTGCAAATTCAAGCACCGACCTGGTGCTGTGGAGCTGCCTCCACAATCAAAGCTGCAGAATACGAAGTCTGTACTATGTTGTCAATGCCGGCTCGTACACTTAGCAAGCCTCTGGCTTCAGCCATGCTTACTACTTTGCACATCGATTCCATTTCCAATCCACAGATATGTTTACTTTATTTTTGAGCTCTTCGCTGATGTTCTGCTTTTTCTTTTTTGTTTTATCTCTCATTACAATGCAATTGGGAAAAAAAGGGCTGCATCGAAACATGAGGTACTGTGATACCTTGAATGGAAGTACCAGAACTGAATTTTTTCTAAGATTGAACTAGAAGATTGTGGGAAAATAAGTCAACATGGTTTGATGAAAAAGAGCACTAAATTAGAAAGCAGAAAATAATAATAGCTACGACAGTCTACATTAAGAACTAATCCAAGTGCTTTGAGTGGATTATATACCTTTTATTTTATGACATTCTTATACTATTGCTATATTTATATTCCGGAAGGAGGAGGAGGAGGGGGTGGAGAAGGGAGGCAGGAAGTGAGGGAAGGAGGGCAAAAAGAAAGAAATCAACAACAAAAAGAACAGAGAGGCTATGTAACTTTCTTGAGGTCACACAACCAGTAAATGGTCGACTTAAACTCAGTTGAATCTAACTCCAGAATGAGAATCTTAACTATATGACACTGCACTGACTTGTCACAGCTTTGCTGCAGGGTAGCTTTGTAATTCTGAGAATATTATTTCACCTCTTTGTGTCAAAATTTTCTCAATTGTGAAATGAGATAATTATACTAGATGACTTCTATGACATCTAATCTCTTTTTCTAACTTTTAATCCTCTATATGATAAAATGAATTTATAGTTCTGCTTAGTACCCTGTTTCAGAACGCCTTTTGAAATTTGCTTTGGGAGTGAAAATATCTGGCAGATCTCCAAATTTATTTTATTTTATTTATTTATTTTTAAAATATTTATTTATTTATCTATTTATCTATCTATTTATTTATTTATTTATTTAGCTCAAGCAGGGCCAGGGGGAGCAGGAGAGCATGTGCACATGCATGTGAGAGAGAGAAAGAGAACAAGAGAGAGAGAGAATCCCAAGCAGACTACATCGAGCCTTATATGGGGCTTGATGCCACAAACTGTGAGATCATGACCTGAGCTGATATCAAACATACACTCAACCAATGGAGCCATCCAGTCAGGCACCTCTCCACATTTATTTTTTTTTTTTTAAATGTTCATTTATTTTTGAGAGAGAGAGTGTGTGTGAGCAGGGAGGGGCAGAGAGAAGGGCATGGAGGATCCAAAATAAGCTCTGTGCTGACCGCAGACAACCCGGTGCAGGGCTCAAACTCACAAATCTCGATATAATGACCTGAACTGAAGTTGGAAGCTTAACCAATTGAGCCACCTAGGCACCCTCCAAATTTACTTTAAAACAATCTTTAATGAGATATGTAACACATTTAAAAAATATAATTTCATCACTTGAAATGTCCTGTAAGAGAAGAGAGAGGCAAGTTCTGCAGATATCCGAGTCTGCAGTTATAATACCTAGTAAGTGTCAATTCAGTAAGTTAAGTATGAAAAGTCTTGAACATAAATAAAAAAAAAATTAAAGATACAGTTGTGTGAAAAGACTTGAGTTCTGGTCTTTATTCGGTCTCTAACGCAAAATTAACTGTTTTGGACTTTGGTTTCCCTGTTTTTTTAAATCAGAGAGTTGCATTTCTGAGATCCCTTCTGTTTCTACCAGTTTCTTACTTCACAAGTGAGAATCTATTAAAGTTCAGTGAAGGTGTTATCTGAATTGACTCGGGGCACCTGGGTAGCTCTGTCAGTGAGGCGTCCAACTTTGGCTCAGGTCATGATCTCGCGGTTCAAGAGTTCAAGCCCCACGTTGTGTTCCATGCTGACAGCTCAGAGCCTGGAGCTTGCTTCAGATTCTGTGTCTCCCTCTCTCTCTGCCCCTCCTCTGCTCTTGTGCTCTCCTTCTCTCTCTCTTTCAAAAGTAAACATTAAAAAAAGAAAGAATGCAGGCCCTTGTTAGATAACCTGAGTTAGTTTTTTACTAAAGGGTTTCTTAAACTTTCTGGTCCTGACAGTACTCATTTGTAAACTGAGGGTAATTACAATTCTTACTTATTGTGGCGACTGAATGGGAAAAACTTAAACTGCTTATACCTGGCACATAGCTGGTAATCAGTAAATGTTTGCATTTATTAATAGTAGTAATTTGAATAATTGAGAGTGTTTTCACAGTCTGCATCATTAAGTATCTATTAAAAACATAAGTGCACACCAACCAGCCTGAATAACTTAGGTGCCTAAAGACAGACAGAAGGGCATCATCGGGGGGACTTGGTGCAATTTCTCTTACACTAAGATCTCATACACCATATTAGCATTAGTTTATAAAAAGGTATTCGGTGCTGTTCGATGTTTTATATATCAGGAAAATTAGAAAAGGTTCCTGCCTTGACAGTAATGGATAAGCTTCAAAACCCATGTAGATATGGGAAAAGAAGACGGTTTAGCAAAAGAGAGACTTTAGCTGTCAGGTCACACAACTTCACATCCTGCAATCAGAATGCATGTGTTAGTAAAGAGACAGGACAAAAAACCACAATCACTGTTTCTTCAATACTCCCTGACACAGTCTAAGACATAGAGACTATACACAGCTGAAACTTACTTTTCTATCCTTTTGGCTGCAAAGGAGGAAACAAAATTGAAATGTAGTAAATGAAGGAACAAATAGAGGGTGAGTAGAAATATTACAATGGGAAGGTTCATTTTATGAACAACTTTCATTTTAATGAGTATATTCTTCCTATTACAAGTACAATTTTATGGAAATCCAGACCCAATTTTTCATAAAATAAAAAAAATAGAAGGACAAGAACAAAAAAACAAAACCACTGACTGCCCAAACTGAGAGCTTCTTGCTTACACCTGCAATCAGTGCATGATATCTATTCTACCTCCTTCTTTGGGTTATAACAGGATATGATTCGTAACATTTGGTTCTTAACTTAAAAATTTCAAAATAGTAATTCAAACTCATTTTTTTGACTTGAAGAAATTACAAAATCCTTCTTTTAGTTTACGATAGCAGTGACCAATTTCAAAGAGGTTCAATAAGAATTGATGTTGGAAACTGCCTTACAGATACAAATTGCTATTATTATCTTTGAATATACATATCATTAAACTAAAATGGATGCCAATAAACCAACATGAATATTTAAACAATATTATTATAAAGAATAGAAAAATAATTTCTTTCACTCTTTTAATAACAGTACTTTGGACCTTAATTTTCGTGTTTTATCTGTACATATGAAATCAAATCATATTTTCCCTCTATTTACACTATTATTCTATTTTCAAAGACAGTTAGATGCTATTATATATGTACAAATACATGTTAATTCATAGTCGGCATTTTACTCTAAGGGAAATACAAGTAAAATGCTATTTTTTAATAGTTTAAAAAAAAGAAATATTTTGGTAAGATCTGAACTGAAATAAACACAATATGGTATTAAAACTAATCCCGGGTATAGTTAAAATTCTAACTAATTCAAATCTATGTTTAGAACAGTCATTCTTAATAACATTCAGAATCTTCTGGCTCTTTCCATAGAGGTAACGCTGAGCCAAAAAAATGTATAACGTTCAGTTATTCATTCTGATGGCAGTTTTTAATGTAATTTGCCCCGTGCATCCCAAGTTCACCTTGTCAGAGAGTACTGCTTCCCCAAGGCTGCCCCAGGGTCCTGTTGACGGATGGCTCTAATTGCAGTCGGCGCTGTAAACAAGGCAGCTACTCCATGCTCCGCGAGCACACGGAAATAAGCGCCAGCATCTGGTGTTCCCACAGGCTTTCCCTGCGATGAGATTCATTTAAAATGTCACCGGGTAAAATGTCTCCTACTTCATTGACAGTTCAATGCTTATACATTTAACAGAGCAATATTAATAAAATGGGGTTCTCGACAGATCTGAGCTTTAAAATACCCCCATGTTCTATCATAAATTAAAAAAAAAAAAAAAAATGCCCAGGCTTCAGAGAGACCATTTGCTCCATTACATCATCCTAAAAGCTTTTCAAATTGCATTTTTTCCTTTCTTAAGTTTTGAAAGATAAAGGACAGGAAGTATATATCACATTCAAATGAAAAGCATAAAACAGCCTTCTGTTTTCCAAAAAAATGAAAGACTTAGTTTTGTGTGGTAGGACTAAATGAGAAATATGATTGCTATGAATTTCTAACTTTGATAATTTTTTTCATAATCACTTCTAAAAGTGACAATAACAATGCTCAAAATATTTGAGAAGAGAGAAAAATATGGAATCACAGTAATTTCTGAATAATAACCTTTTCAGTTAAATGCCTCACTCCAAGAAAAGCAACTTCTATGACTTAAAAAAATTTCAGTGAGATATCTCCAATGTATGTTTTCCATAGCTTCAAAATGACATTTAACATATTCAGTGGAAAAATCTGTGAATAAAAATCTAACAATTTTTACAGAATATGTAATCAAAAGGACACAAAGCATTTTTCAATTGCCGTTTCTGCAAAGTGAAAAATGAGCATAGCATAAATGAATAAGTGATTCTGCAAAAATTCTAAGTGTTACATAAAATCTATGTTGGCCCAGCCATATCCCCTCATTCATCAATCCATTCTCATCACTGCTACTTTTTTCCTTTGATTCTAAGGCAAAGTGCTGGGATGTTAATATATGTTATATGAAAAAAATATATATTATATGTCTGTAATATATATTTCACAATCAAATCATTTGGGAAGGGGTTGGGATAAAGAAGACAACAGGTTTCTTACTTTGGACCATTTCTTGAAGACTTAAAAGTGTTAAAGAAAATCAAGAATTCCCGAAAGAGTTACTATATGTAATATTTCTTAAACTTCTCTGTCCACATCCCTATCTGAACATCTCATAGATGTTATATTCTGGAGAACACACTTGGAAAACACTGATAAGGTAAAAAGAGGAAAGAAGTTGCTAGTAGCAAACTAAGAGATCTCCCCGAACACAGAATAATAAATGAGTGGATGATAATAAGAGGGCAATCACAGCTGTCTAGTAATTTAGAGTCACTATCTACTTCTGACTGGATCTTTGATAGAGCGTTATTTAGTTTGTACTTTCTTCTTTTTAATGATTACCCTTCATATTCTTTAATATAATTATATTTTCTTTTTAAGAAATATAACCCCTTTTTTATATTCCGTTGCTTTTTCTCTTGCTCTTTTAATACCAAAGACAGTATTTATTGCAACTAGAAATCATTTTTATTTTCACAACTATCCCAAAACATTTCATTTCAATTTATTCCATTACCAACTCATATAGGTCACCATGTTGATACAGTGTAAAAAGTGTATACTGTATATAATATATAAGTATATACTGTATAATGTATATAGTATGAAAAGCTGCCAGTTACAATTTGGAAACTCCTGTACATACTTGATTCACAAATTTTGAAGCCTTGAGCATATCAGTCTAAAATGAATCAGTAACTTTTATTCTTTTGAAGCAAGTGAGGTAAACATTTGACTCTTACTTTTTTGATCTGTCCTAGGCACTGATCAGTCCCTGGTGTACTAGACTGTGACTTTGGAAGCCTGGTCTCACCCACATAAAAATGATTTATTAACCGACCATATACAATTGACTCTCCCTGTTGATGTTGCCATTTTCTTGCCCACTAAATAAGAATAAATCATTTTTCCAATATTTCCTTGATAAGCTGAAAGCACTGAAATAATATTTTAAAGTAGTTTGACTTCTACTGAAGAAAGATATTTTCTACACATTCAATGCAATTCCAATCAAAATTGCACCAGCATACTTCTCAAAGTTAGAGCAAACTATCCTAAAATTTGTATGGAACCACAAAAGACCCCGAAGAGCCAAAGTAATACTGAAAAATAAAACCAAAACGGGAGGTATCACCATCCCAGACTTTAGCTTCTACTACAAAGTTGTCATCATCAAGACAGTATGGTATTGGCACAAAAACAGACACATAGACCAATGGAACAGAATTGAGAACTCAGAAGTGGACCCAAAAGTATACAGCCAACTGATATTTGACAAAGCAGGAAAGAATAACCAATGGAAAAAAGACAGCCTCTTTAACAGATGGTGTTGGGAGAACTGGACAGCAACATGCAGAAGAATGAAACTAGATCAGTTTCTCACACCATGCACAAAAATAAACTCAAAATGGATAAAGGACCTGAATGTGAGATAGGAAACCAACAAAACCTTAGAGGAGAAAGCAGGAAACAACCTCTTTGACCTCCACCGCAGCATCTCTTACTTGACACATCCCCCAAAGCAAAGGAATCAAGAGCAAAAATAAATGAATGGGACCTCACCAAGATTAAAAGCTTCTGCACTGCAAAGGAAACAACCCACAAAACTAATAGGCAACCAACGGAATGGGAAAAGATAGTTGCAGACGACATATCAGATAAAGGGTTGATATCCAGAATCTATAAGGAACTCACCAAACTCCACACCCAAAAAACAAACAACCCAGTAAAGAAATGGGCAGAAGATATGAACAGACACTTCTCCAAAGAGGACATCCAGATGGCCAACAAACATATGAAACGATGCTCAGCATCCCTACTCATCAGGGAAATACAAATCAGAACGACACTGAGATACCACCTCACACCAGTCAGAGTGGCTAAAATGAGCAAATCAGAGAACACGAGATGCTGGCGAGGATGTGGAGAAACGGGCACCCTCTTAAACTGTTGGTGGGAATGTAAACTGATACAGCCCCTCTGGAAAACAGTGGGGAGGTTCCTCAAAAAATTAACAATAGAACTCCCCTATGACCCAGCAATAGCACTGCTAGGAATTTACCAAAGGGATATAGAAATGCTGAGGCATAGGAGCACATGTATCCCAATGTTCATAGCAGCACTCTCAACAATAGCCAAAACATGGAAAGAGCCTAAGTGTCCATCAACGGACGAATGGATCAAGAAGATGTGGTTTATCTATACCATGGAATACTACATGGCAATGAGAAACAATGAAATCTGGCCATGTGTAGCAATATGGATGGACCTTGAGGGTGTTATGCTGAGTGAAATAAGCAGAGAAGGACAAATATCATATGTTTGCACGTATAGGAGGACTAGGAGGAACTTAACAGAGGAAGAAGGGGGAGAAGGGGGGAAATGGTGGGGGAAAGGGAGAGAGGCAAACCATGAGAGACTCCTGAATGCTGACAAAAACTGAGGACTGATGGATGTGGGGGGGAGGGGGGGTTGGAGTGGAGGAGGACACTTGTGGGGATGAGCACTGGGTGTTATGTGGAAACTAATTTGACAATAAACTATTTGTAAAAAAAAAAAAAAAGAAAGAAAGATATTTTGTAGCCAATTGGAGTTGAACTCCATTACAATTCTAGTGTCATGGGACAAAGACAATATACTCACAAAAGGGTGATATTAGTGTTATATTAGTGTCATAATATTAGTGATATTAGTGTCATAACAAAATACTATACCATAATGACTTTGATCTATTTTATGCCTTCAATTAATTATGTCTAGCGATAATGACAGCTTAAATATTTGAAGTATTACTTTAAAAATGTACCACATTTTTATAAATAATACAATAATTCCTGTTGCAATTCTGACCTGTACCAAATAAATTTCCATCAATATTCTATTTATTGAGCACAAAAATCATGACAACATAGCATTACTATAAAACACTATAAAATCTCATTATATTCCTTTGTAAATTAGTTAAGCTCAGAAAGCTTCAGAGGTTTGCATTTATTTTCTATTCCCACAGTATCATCCATTGCTATGATATGTTTTACTATTTTAGAATGAAGTGACTCAATAGCTTAGTGGTTTTACTGAACACTCTTCTACCCTGCCCTTCTGCACATACACACGTTTCTGTAAATACACACACCTGCATGCACACACAGGCAATATAATCTCTTTATAGTACTTTTTTAAAAAAATAACCAATAACATATTAACCACTGTGAGTTACCAAGAGAAAAGGACTCTGATTCCAGAACTGGCATATTCAGCGAGAAGCAACAGCCCAAATAATTGAAAAGTAGGAAGATTCTAAAATTTTGCGGATTTTTAACAAACAACATACACCAAAAACAGTAATGCAGCTAAAAGGTAGCAATAACTTTAAAACTCTTCAAAATTCATATCCATTGATGTAATTTACCATTTGCTTTTACTCCCTTCCCTCAAACTAAGGGGTAAAGTCTCATTGCTGCCCAGAACACAAAAGCAGAATGCAATCCTTACAACGGCAAAAGCAGATTCTAAGCTTTCAGCTATTTTATCATGAATTTTTAACATCAGAGATTTATAAAACATTAATTGCTAATATTTACAATGTGGTTAGTGACAGTACAAAGCATAGAATCCAAGACAGAGAAATACCTTAAGATTAAGTTGTATGTATGTACAAATTTCTACAACCTGTTATTCATTGTGTTAGTTTTAAGAAACTGTACATGGTAAACCCTGAGTCAGAAAACCAGGTAATGTCTCAACTTTTCATATAATCCCTACTGAGGTTAAGTTTCAGTACAAGAAAGTAGTAAAAGACAGCAGCTTAACAAAACAAAGATAAGCTTAAAATCTAGAGCTAGATCTTTGAGCAAAATAATATTTGTTTTACTAATCCTATGATTTTGGTTTATCCAAGGTTTGGTGTCAAGGCTACTTGCAGTTTCTCAAACTTTGACATACAAATGTTTGAGTCAACTGTAGTTTTTGACTCTTGGTGGCTGAATTAGAAATACACCTGGTCCCTTTTTGAACACCACTTCTGAGAATCT